ATGTGCTTGCCAGAGAAAGACAATGAGAGGGAAGGTGAGAAATCACCCGCAGCAGGGATGGTCACACTGAAATCCCGTCTCCTCCCTTCTCCTCCTGGGATTTTGAGCATGTGTGCACACACACCTGGCATGATTTTCAAGCCACTGGGGGGCGGGACTCGAACCTCAGTCAGCTATGTGGGAGTTCAGCACTGTGACCATTACACCATCTGCTGGCTCCCGTGGTTTTCTTTTCTTTTCTCAGTGCAGCTGGGGTCACAAAGTGCAGACTGCACAGTCTCAGAGCTGCACCCACTCTTGCCCAGTAGTAGGGCTGCCTGCCTGTGTCCGACTGAAACGCCGTCAGCTCTGCTCCCTGGGGCAGACTGACGGCTGCGGACACAGCAGCCCAGCGCCTTGGATCCGGCTCCTCCCGGGACATGTGTGCATGGTTACGGCCAGACTGACCCGTTGCCCTCTGCAAACAGCTTTGACGGCCTGGTTGATACTACCAGCTCGCCCCTCAAGCTGTTTGTTCAGCAAGCCTCTGATGGTTACTACGCTAGCTGCAGGGCTCCTGTGGATTCACCTCAGCAGCATAAAACCGGGTCATCCAGTCTTCAGGACTTTGCTCCTGAAAACTCCCCAACCATGGCTATGCTCCTACCATGGCATGTTACATGTCCATTTAAAATGGTTCTATATCAGGGCCACCAGGTGGCATGGTGGTTAAGGCATTGGATTTCCCCATGGCCGACTGAGGTTCAAGTCCCAGACCTAGTGGCTTGCTTTCTCATTTCTCTCTCTCCGTCTCTCTCTCTGTGTCTCTCTCTGGTGAATGCACATGCCCTATAGCAAGTTAAAACATAATAATAATAATAAATAATTCTTTTTAAAATGGTACTTATATAACAAAGGGTGTTAGGGAGTTGTTTTCTTCTTGATTTTTAAACTTGTTCATGTTCCTTATCAACCTCACTTCCACTTCGTCTGTGGAAGAGCAGGCTTAAGACCACTTGGTAGTTGTTCCCACCCATTCGGTGGCCTGAGCGTGGGAGCCGTGGCCCAGGCTCAGTGGCAGGCGGAGCACGCCAGTCTTCAGCAGGGAGCTGCTGGGTGGGCACGGAGGGCAACTGCACACCTTCAGGCCAGTCTGCGACCTCAGGCGAGCAGCAGTGAGCCCAGGAGCTGGCGCCGCCCGTTCACCCTGCCATCCCACCCCGGCCACAGCCTTTCAGCCGCGGCCTGCTCCTCCTTCCCAGTCTCTTCAGGGTCTCTGTAGAGGTAGAGATCAGGCCTGACCTCCCACAGGTGCTCACGGGAGATGGTGCCCCGCGTGTGCAGAACTTCCCGTTCAGGGAGTGCTTAAACACTTTGGGGGTGCTGACCATACTGTGTAAAAAGCAGGACACACGGTTGTATCATTCCAAGTGTTAAAAATAAGTGTGATCAAATGGAGAGAGACTTCTCACCCTGCCCTCCCCACCACCCCACACCCACCGTTTCCCTTCCAAGTCATTAGGGAGTTGGCACCTTGCGTGCAATGTGCTTTTTTGTCAAGTTAATAAAGGAGATCTTGTCATCTAACCTTGGACGGGGAGGAGGTAGATGTTCTCTTCGGCTAATAAGGTCAGGGTGTTTGCTCACAGGAAATAGAGTTATGAGTGTAGCCATAAGAGGAATATTAATTTCTTATGTGGGTCAAATATTTGTGTGTGTGTGTGTTCTTTTCCTGGAAGAAATTGGCCTTTGCTAGTGAGATGTGTTTGACTTTTGATACACGGTGTGGTGGGGCAGCTGCAGTTTTGTGGACGCCCTCCAGGCCCCGCTCCCGGCCCTGCACCCACACTGCCCGCCCCAGCTCCACCTGCAGCAGTGGGCACAGGCACCATCTTCAAGGCCAGAGGCTGGGAATTGTGGGAGGCACAGCTGGCGGTTCAAGGTTCCTCATTTGCTTTAGGAAGAGAGGTGGTTCCCAGAGGGGATGAGAGGGCTGGAGGAAAGAACCGAGCCGGCAGAGGGGTGACTGGGAGAGAAGGGTGGAAGATGCAGTAGACTGTGAAGGTCGTGGAATGTCATGAATACCCACCTACAGACTCCGGTTCTGTAAGCCCTGGGGACCATCCTCTCATTCAGTAAAGGACTGGGATGTCCTTGAGGCCCCAGGTGTCCGTAAGGCCTTCCAGCTTCTTCCCTGGCAGGGAGGTGGAGCGGCACCTGGTTGAGGCCCCCTGCGTGTGAGAAGCAGCTGCCCCACAGGGACAAGCCCCCTGGAAAGAAAAGGGTCATCCACAGAAGACCCTGGGAGGAGCTGTCACTGGAGTTAGGGGTCAGAGTGGGTGCGATGTGCCCTCAGGTGGCTGGACTGTGGGCATCATATTTCCCTGCCCCCTGCTTTTCTGAATTGTCAGATTTGGGGACAAGAGGGGTAGGTGCTATTTTTATAACCAGGTGGGAAAATTCCACAGCAACAACTCAGGGTGGCCAGAGGCTGGAGGGTGGGGACAAGGTGCTAATCAGACTGGAAGTGACCTCGGGAGATCACCGCCCATCCCCCTGCTCCCGCCCACAGTGCACCGGAACAAGATACAGTCGGGGGACCCCCTCCCCACTCAGAACACCTCCTACCCTCCTCCCTTCTGCTCCTACACACTTCCAAGAGCAGCTGGACCTCTGCTAATCACCCTCTGCTCTCCGCTCTGCTGGATAGAAATGGGGCGCCCGGTAGCCTTGCTAGCTGGGCCCAGCAGGTGGTATGGTGGTTAAGGTGCTGGACATTCCCACATGGCCAACCACGGGTCAAGTCCTGAACCTGGTGGCTTGCTTTTTCATTTTCTCTCTTTCTCTCTCTGTGCAAAAGAAATAAATGCATGAATAAAAATAATAATAATAAATAATTCTTAAAAAAGAGAGAAACGGGGCGCCGGTGGAGGTGGGAAAGAGCGCAGGCCCTGCCCTTGCTGGAGATCTGCCTGTGGGTGGCGCCCTCTGAGCGGGCCCAGTCACCTCTTCCGGGAGGGCAGGCTGAGCCCAGGGAGGGGGAGCCCAGGAAAGAATGGGAGTGGCACAGAGGCGCCGCCCCTCCCCCTTAGCCCCTCCCTGCCCGCCTTCTGGTCTCACCCTTTTCTGTCCAATCACGCGAGAAGCTCTGTGCCAGGTGCTTTTGCGGGACACAGAGACACACGAGGACGAGGACGAGGATGGTAAGACGTGGCCCCCGCCTGCAAGACTTCCTGCCAGTGAGAAGGTAAGGCCCGGCTGGGAGTCACTTCCTGACAGGGCGCTTGCTGTCTAAATTGCCCTCCTACCCAGAGGGAGGTCTGTGCACGGCCGTGGGGGTGATAGACACAAACACCCCACGTGATAGTCCGCGAAGAGCCAGGATCCACCTTCTAGGAGCTTAGGTGTGGAGAGTACCGGACGTCCAGAGGTGAGGGGACAGCCACTCTGCCCCCTCCTGTCCCTGAACAATGGCCTCCAAAGATGAACACCCCCGCCCCCGAATTTGAACATTTGTCACCTTATGTGGCACTGAAGTCCTTGCTGCTGTGTGAATGCGAGGATCCCAGGACGGGAGATTACTCTGGAATACCCAGGGGGCCCAGTGGGAGCACAAGGGCCCTTATCAGAGGGAATGGAGGGGGGGCTCAGAGAGGGGAGAAGATGTGACGGTGGGGGACCAGCAGGTGGCGTGGTGGTTAAGGCGTTGGATGTTCCCACATGCCTGAGCACCGTTCAACTCGGGCCTGGTGGCTTGGTTTCTCACTTTCTCTCTCTTACTGTGTGTGTGTGTGGTCAAATTAAAATAAATGAATGAATAAATAAAATTAAATAAATAATTATTTTTTAAAAAGGTGTGAGGTTGGGAACAGGTCAGAGAGGGATATGCTAGCACCCCCGCTTTAGAGTGCGTCCTTCTGAGCTGCAGGGGAAGGGCCTGACCAGCTCTGAGCCTGAGTGTGGTGATGGGCGACAGCAGCAGGAGCCCGGCACGTGCCCCCACCCACCCCCCTGCTTCTCGGAGCGCCCCCAGAAGACATGCTCGCATTGACTTGCAGTGCCTTGAAGACGGAGGGAAGGTGCTGGGAACACTCGAGGTGGACCAGAACTGGTGCGTTTACAGCGGCTTTCGTTTTTTTCTTAAAGACCTAACGGAGACCCCAAGCTGGACTTCTAAGTGAGCGAAGAGTGTGATAAACACATGGTGTTCAGGAAAAGGAGCGGGAGGGCTCCGCGCTGAGATGGACGATTCTCCCAGGTGGTTGGAGTGGAAGAGAGAAGCTGCAGAACGCCTAGGAGGCAGGCAGCGCGGTTGCGTGAAAACCCAGCCAGGCATGCAGGGGTGCTTGTCCTTTCTGCTGGGAGGAATCACAAGAAAATGCCAGCAAGGGTTGCCTCTGGGAGAGGAATGGGGTAACTATATATATGTGTATATGTGTATATGTATACGTGTGTGTGTGTATAATTTTTTAAAGGTTTTTGCCATAAGGTATATGCACTCACTGGAGAGGAGAGAGACAGAGACAGAAAGTGAGAAATCACCCACCAGGGGGGATGGTCACACCCCAATCCCTTCTCCTCCATTCTCCTCCTGGAATTTGGGACACATACGTATATATGCTCAGTGTGATTTTTGAGCTACCGCGTCTGGAACTCGAACCATGGTTGGCCATGTGGGAGTCCAGCACCTTAACCACACCACACCACCTACTGACCCTTACAGAATTTAATTTTAAAAATATTTCTACTGTTTGAATTTTCTAACTTTCTACTTAGAGTTTTTATTGTCAACAGAGGCTATTTGACTAGGGAGATTATGACTCATTTTTGGATTTCTTCTTGGTACTTCTCTGTCAAAAAAAAAAACAAAACTAGTTAACATCACGTAATGCAGGCAGCATAGAGGTGTATGCTGTTTGTATTAAAATTCTTGCAGATACCAGGCAGTAGCGCAGCAGAAAAACGAGGCATCTGAGAGCAATCCACATGTGCAGGTTCTGGGTTCACTTCCAGAGTCCCCCACTCTGGTGCCTACGACACAGGGCTGGTCTTGCTGGGTGGAGTGTGGTCTCACAATCCTGTTGAGGGTTCTTTCTCCTCTCACTTGCTTATAGAAGAAATAAGCAAATGAACTTTAAAACAACAACAACTTACAGATAGGAAGATCGGGCTGTTCAGTAAGGTTTGTTACCCAGCCCCTTGAGGCCTCAGATCTAAAAGCAGTCTGCTACATCTCCAGGCCCCTGTGCTCCTGACCCCGCTCAGGAGAGTCACCGAGGCCCTCGGATAGAAATGTGATTGTCCACAGCCTGGCACCTTTAGGGCTTCGACGAGAATGGATTCGCACGTGGGTCCCAACTTGGCCACGTACCACCATTTGATCTCGAGCAAATCAGGGGGCTCTCTGGGGTTTTGTTTTCTTGTGTGAATAACCGGGGGTGGGGGCTGGCAAGTGGCATGATGGTTAAAGCACTGGACTCCCACATGGCTGGCTATGGTTTGAGTCCTATACCTGACAGCTTGCTTTCTTGTTTTCTCTCTTTATAGAAAATTAAATAATAATAAATACAATTAAATAAATAATTCTTTTTTAAAAATGGGGATGGGGAGGGTGTTTGTTTTCAGGGTTACCGTGAGGCTTAACTACAGTATTGCTCACGGGGTGCCCCACACCGCAACTGGCCCAAGCAGGAACCCAACAAATCATGTTTCTTCTCTTTCTTTCCATTCATTTCTGAGCCTGTCAAGGGTTGAAGGAGGCCCCTGTTCAGGGGAGGGCAGAGCAAGCCTTTGTCTATAGAACACAGAAACCTCAGAGAAAACCCAGATGACCAAGTATCTGTTTCCGCCCGGCGTGGATGCCACAGGCTGGCCGCCCCCGCCAAGACACAAGA